TTTTTCAAAAAATTGTATTAAATAAATTTAATATTATTTAATTATAGCTATTTGCAAATTTAATAAAAATTTTTAAAAAACAATAAAATGTCTAATTTCTCTGAAATTAATAAATTAAAAAGAAATATAAAAAAGTTGAACAATGTTGAAAGTAGTGTTGAATTTTTGAAATATATACATACACAGATGAAGTTAATAACCATGAAAATTTAACAGGCTATTACATAGGCTTACATAGGTTATTACAATGGTTACAATGGTAAGTTATTTGAGTTTTATTATTTAAAAAGATTTATATTATAATCCGTGGCTGTGAAATTCTCGGCTAACTTCACGCACCTCGAAATTTTTCTACAGTACAATTTTTGCGTACCTCTGTGTCATTATATAACAGTTAGTTTTATTTTAAAACGATCAAAAAACAAATAAAAAACATTTCATAATCATAACTCGATTTATTTTTAAATAAAAAAAATCACCAAACCTGCCGGCAGCCTACGCCAGTATAAACGGAGCTTGTGTGGACATGAAATGAAACTCCTTAACATGATTTCCATGGACAGCCAAACCGGTATATATATTAATTAAAGGGAGGCCTATATACCAATATACAACACTTTCTAATGGGTTGAAGCAAGGATATGGAAAGAACCTCAATTTCTTCAACTTTTAATTATTTTCGGTAATGTCAATTTTATTTTTTTAAATTTATACCAAATATAAATAATTAATTACCCCATTGAATAACAATTAAAAAATTAAAATTTTAACATTTTAAATAAAAGCAATATTTCGAAATTAGTAAATATATGATGGTAACTTTTGACTCGAATGATAAAAAAATCATTCTCCAAATCCCCTCTAAAAGTATGCTTCTTGTTCAGCCGTTAAAAGTGAGCGAAGGCCGTTATATTTATTTTTGTTATGTGATATATATATATATATATATATATATATATATATATATATATATATTATTTATTATATTTGTTAACGACTTGTCCAAAAGTAGTAGTTTGTTGAAGACCATAGAAGAAGTTATAGTAGGATGAATAACGACTTAACCAAAATTCATAATTGGTTTAATTTGCATCATCTATCTATAAATTATTAAAAAAAACATATTTTATGATATTTGGGTCTAAAATTGTAAATAATAGCATTAAAACTGACATATTTATTAATAATAATGCATGGATATACTATATATATATATATATATATATATATATATCCATGTATGATTATGTATATTATATATATCCGTGTAATAATGCCAGAGAGTCCGGTAAATAAATTTCTAGGGTTTTTGTTAACTGACAATTTGTCCTGGCTAGATCATATAGTCCATAAAGCAAGCAAAATTTCCAAAATAACTAGAATGCTTTTCAAAAAAAGATATAAACTAACTTTAGATATCACTAAATAATTTATTTCAGCTTAATATATCCATATCTGACTTATGGCATAATTTTATGGAGAAATAGCGCATTTTCTCATCTAAATCATTTACACTTTGCATATAATTATTTTATAAGATGCCTTTTTTTAACAAGAAAAGGAGAACAATTTCTCAATATTTTATAAAATAAAAAATTGTTAATTTGAATCCAATTTTTAAACTTTTCTCATTCAAATTTATGTATTAAAGTTCATAATAAATTATTACCTCAAAACATTTTAAATTTTTTTCGAACTCCATGTCTTAATTATAAAAACATGAGGCAACTATAAGATCATCAAAAGCCTTATCCTAGATTGATGATATTAAAGTCTTCCATTTTTTCCATAGGGGTTTCTTTGTGGAATAATTTACCCGTAAAATTCAAATTGTTCTATAACTTAAATCTGTTCACTAAACACATGAAATTTTTAATATTGGAAAACCAATTATAATTTAGAATAATTATTGAGTAATACTTTTTACAATTTTATCTTTTGTATATATTTAAAAAAATATTTTTGAACTATTTCTCAACCCCATTTTATTTGTCGGTATATATGTATGTGTAGTGTATTATTTTTAAATATTTTCTAAACCTCATTTTATATATCTGTGTATTAATTTGAATATGTTGAAACTTTTGAGTATCTGCGTGTATCGACGTGTCCGGCTCGTTCCGTCAATATTGTGGTAATCGCAATATACAGACCGGGGTCATCGCTAGCAACGAATAGTTATTTTATGGAGTTTCGTCAACTACTTGAACTCCTCTCTCAGTCTAATGGACAAATCGTCATTCTGGGCGACTTGAAACGTGCATGCATCATCTTTCAAATCTTTGTTGTCGACATTTGGTTGCGTTCAGCACATTGATTCTCCGACACATAAATTTGTCTAAGAGTTGAGTCATATAAATCGAAAAGCTCCTCCACATTACAATGTAAGTAAACCCCAGGATCACAGACAGCGCTTCACGATCAATACTCTTGTAGTTTCGAAGTAGACTGCCACAGCATAAAACGTTCTACACGAAAGTTGGAAAGAATTTATCGGCTGACAAAAAACAATGCCCATCTAATCCGTTGGAGATTAGCAATTGAGGAAAAGCATAAGTTATATTTATCAAAGGTTACAAATTATTATCAGTCGCTTATAATTTCTAACGCAAATGAACCGAAAAGATTGTGGAGTGTTTTGTCATCATTTGTTGGAAAAAAATTGCCAGCTCAGTGGCTCCATCTATTTCAGCACAACAGTTTCTGACATACATGAAATCAAAGTCTGAACCGTTTGCTAATGGAAGTGATGCTCCTGTGTTCAGATCGACTGATAGCGCTTTTCTTCAGTTTGAGAGCATTTCACAAGAGGATCTAAAAAAAATTAATTCTTTTTTCTTCCAGTAAGTCTTGCGCCTTGATCCGATCTTGATTGGATAGATTCATGAAGGAGTTTGTCAAAACACTTTTGCCGTTTTTGCAGTACATGGTTAATAAAAGTCTAGAAACTGCAATACTATCCAGGTCCCAAAAGATCGCTCTGGTGAAACCGCTGTTGAAAAAACCAGGTTTGGCAAGTAATGTCGCGGCCAACTACAGGCTTATTTCAAACCTCACTTTCATTTCCAAAATCATCGAACGGATAATCGCTCGTCAGTTGCTGTTCAAGTTGCTGTTCAAGTAGGCTCCTCGCCTACTTGAACAGCAACTCATCGCTCCCGAAGGTTCAATCAGGCTTTCGTCGAGCACATTCAACCGAGACGGCGATTCTGAAGGTGGTTTCGGATGTCTGTGACGCGGTTGAAGCTGGAGACATGCACTGCTTGCACTTCTTGATGTATGTGCTGCGTTTGACACTGTGGATCATCAAATCCTGTTGGAAAGACTATCAACTTCGTTTGGTATCTGCGGTAATGCGTTCAGGGGGTTCTAATGTTACGCATTTAGTCCATGTCCAATTATATATATATATGTATATATATATATAAATTAAATATTAAAAATGAAATATATATATATATATATATATATATATATATATATATATATGACGCATTTAGTCCATGTCGTTGATAGAAATTTTATATAATTGTTTTGTTAAATTTTGTAATTTAGACAATACTAGAGAAGTTAATTTTTTATAAAATAGCTTTATTTAAAATTTAAATTAATTTCTCATATTTTTCTCTACAAATATTTGTTGATTTTCTTTTCATTATTTTTTTTTTAAATTATGAGTAGGGTACCGTATTGTATTGTTTTAACGGTCTTTTTTATGTCTAAGTATGTTATGTATTCTAAGTTATATACTGCATATACAGAATAAGAAACACATAAACTTTAATATGTTTCTACATATTAATTTTACTGTTAAATCGACTCGGTTGGCCATACTTTTGAGTTTTTTTACAACTCCCGCCGTTCATTATTGCTTATTTATGATATAAACATTTCTGATCCTCGAACTCGTTATTGGATTTTTATTTGTGTAAATTAATTAAATTAAATAATCTTTCTTTCTCATTTTTTGGTCGTCGATCGTGGTGAAAAAAGTGGGTTCACACTTCATAATTAATTTTTAAACGGCTGATTTTTTTTTTATCTCTTGTTTTCCTCAAATAATAAACAAATTATTTTATTTTAATTCCTGTTATTGTTGTTATGAATATTTAATTAATAATATACTTATACTGGGTAATCATTGAGAATACGCTTTTAAGCTCTGCCCACTTTTTTTGATTATCACTTAATTACAAATGCATAGAAATAGAAACTGTTACTAAAATTTAGTAACAGTTTCTATTTCTATGCATTTGTAATTAAGTGACAATCAAAAAAGTAACTAAATAGTAGAATGTAGTAGAATAGACTGATGAAAAGATGTAAAGCTTTAAAAGTGAAATTAGATTTTAAAATTTATATGAATTAAATTATAATTTTGTAAAACAGCTTTTTATTAAATAATAAATTAATCTTTCCTTTAATTAAATGATTTCAATGATTCCAATTGAAAATTTCTACATTTAAAAATCTAATGACAGCACACAGATCCATTCTTTTAACAGTTTTTATAGTTTTATATAGATATACTAAATGAATTGAATAATTTTACATACTCTTAGAAAGTTATAATATAAAGGTTGTATAAGGAATAACAATGACTTTTTGTTATTATTTTATATTTCATTTTAAGCTCTTTGTAGCTTAACGATCGTCCCTTGGGTGGCTCTGAAAAAAGCCTTTTGTTGGTACATTTCTCAAACTGAATAAAATGTCCTCATAAAAGAAGAGTGAGCGTCCTTTCGAACTTATCTCCCTTCCTGGCAACTGCTCCTATGCCATATAAATTCATCCAAATAGGAAGACAAGTGGTTTTCACATGTTCCTTTCATTCTTTTGAACTTGTCTTTGGCACACCTCCAAAGATTTTCCATGTTATTCGTGTGTACACCACTAGGAGCCTAAAATGTCCTTGAATGGTTGACAGTGCCTTGTTGGTAGCCAGTATTACCAATGGCATTGTACGCTCTCCACTCATCAGATCATATTGTAGTACCTGTTAAACAAGCATAATGAACTTGAAACATTATTTCAGATTTGATTCATGAAATTTAATTTACCAGGCAAAATATGACGTTGAATTTAGGGTACAACGTCGCGGCATCTCTTCTCTCAACTTCAGCTAGGAATGCATCATTGGTGTCCTGGTCAATTCCACCAAAAACCCATCTTTGGTGAACAGGTCTTGCAGCACCATGTCGAGTTCTCCTTGAACTGCTGATCACACAATCTGAACTATGTGACCATAACCCCCGATTTGCATAGGTTGAGCAGCCATCCATGAAGAGCACCACCTTTGCAAAAATTGAATCAATCAACTATTGCAATATCTGCAAAAGTGTGGATACAGTTGTCTGCTGTATGTCGTTTATAGCCCAATAGAACGTCATATAAAAAAAATACTCTCATTATTTAATTTAGCCATAATTTATATTTTTTAATCAATATCAATTTATATAAAAATACATTCACCGTGACACATTTTTCAATCGGAAATTTACTTCTCTAAAAAAACTCCCATGCCTGATTGACAATGTTGTCCTACAATTGTTGTTGAAACATCTCCAAACCCCCCTTCCTTCTAGTTTTTTTGGGCGACATCTCCATCCCATGTCCGCATTTATAAAAACTCAAAATTGCGCCAACAATTCCTCTTCCTGACACCAGCTAAATTTATTTGAATAACATAACAGAAAAAAATTTAATGGGCGCAGATGTACATCTCATAAGCCCAAAGCCCCAAAAATTAGTGTATTAAATGAAGCATAAATTGTTCAAGTAATATTAAAAGTAATACACAGACACACACACATGTCTCAAGCATATCACACTCATACTCACATGCCAACCCAAATATCAATCAAACTGGATAATTTGCACGCCATTCGTACCTCATCTCAAACTCAATAGTGAACTTGTCAAACAGAACTTTAAGTTGATTTACGGATTTTGCACCCACAATTTCCTGTGGTAAAGAATTCCATATGGGTATAGTTCTGTTAACAAATGCATATTTACTCAAGTTTGTTCTAACCATATTTAACTGTTTATCGTGTCCTCTAGTTATGGATTCCGTACATAATTTTAGATCTGGATATAAGTTATCATTTCAAATAAAGTAATCATCCCCTCTGATTCTATGAAACTTGAGCATGGATAAATTTCGAAACCACAGCTTTTCATTGCCTCAGTCATAAAGAAAATACTTCACATTTTTATTTACTTTTCTTTGTTTAATCTATCAGAATATCAATGTCATAACAAAAAGTGGGCAGAGTTACGGCGTATTCTTCATGATTACCCTTATACTGTATATTAATAATAACATCTATGCAGTGTAAACAAACTATAGTGTATTATATTAATATATTTATATTCTAATAAATAAATAAATAAAATGATTTAATAAAATAATTCAATAAATATATGAAAGTAGAGATGAATATGATTTAGTGATGAATCAATTGACATTGAAACGAGATTGAATGAATCAAATTTCAATCATAATTGCATATACAAACCACAAACGACATAATTATAAATAAGTTAGTTAAATTATAAATAAGTTTACATTGCAATTCGCTATTAAGAAATGTAACGTTAAAGTATTCTTTTCTGCCTATGCATATTAAAATATTTGTAAGTCAAGTAAGAAATAAGAGTGTAACTAAAAATAAACTTAAGATTGGAGATATATAGAATTTTGATGAACAACATTAGCTATTGTTAATAATAATAGAAATTAGAATGTTAATCTGACATATACTTAGAAATATGTTTAGTAATTAACTAACTTAGCACGTTTAGCATGAAATGGAAGGCACATTTTTATTCACAATGGAGATGTTTATAAGGAGACTGATTCATATTTTCATGCTGAAACTGTTGTAATGCTCGTGCACTGCAAGCAGGGGAGTATACTTTTATGTATCTTTAACATAAGTAGGCAGGGAAACATACTTTTATGAACTTTTTGACACTGGTAGACATGAAAATATAATTAGAATCAAGGCTTGCTAGGAGAGTGATACTTGTGCTTTTACGTGAATTGAATGTTCTATCTGAAATGTGTAAAAGTGCTGCATCTCTTGAGGGGTTTATGCGAGTGATAGATGC